CCCAACAAGCAGACGCATGTTTTATTAAAATTAGATAAAAACAGACACCTAATTCAGACCACCATCTTCAAAGGAACAAATGAAGCCATTTTTGAGTGAGAATAAAGCTTGAAAAACCCTAAGGGAGCTAGAGTGGATGAAATCACTTGGTTCCAACTTCAAACTTGTGTATAATCACTTGGAAGACCTAACCTACAAACAAAATCCCTTTGAAAACCATTAAGTGGGGAGATTTCTCCTTGGAAAAGTGGCGAACCACTCTTGAAAGTGACACTTGGAAGGTTGCTTAATCACATTGGGGGCTTAGAAAGCACTCCTTGGTTGATTGTAGGATGGTAAGACACTTCATTTTCCTTTAAGTTTTCTTGTTGGTTGAAGAATTTAGGGTTTTACGAGAATGTTGGTTGATTGGGTGTGTTAAGGCATGCTTTAGGCTTGGTTCATGTTAGAGAAAATGTTAAGGAAATAAAATAAACGGTGAAAATGTGTTTGAAAAACCATTTTGGTCACCCACCTTATTTTCAAAAAATGAATGCCTATATATTGAGATTGCTTGTGTTACAAGTAATGTAGGTTGGATGGTTGTATTGATTGTGTTCATGTTGTTTCTAGATTGAAAATTAGTGAACCATCATTGATCAATCAATCATTGGACGGTGCTATGGATGTGGACTCGAATCTTGAGTGATTCTTGTCTAGGTAAGTTCTCCACTTTGTGAAGTGTGTTGAATTCACTAGGTTGTTGTGAATATAGATATATTCAAAAGTTTTCAATTTGATTGTGTTGCATATTAAATTGCAAAGTCACCTTTTGAATAGGTGTGGTTGTGTTTCGCAAGCTTTGGTGTGGATTTTCCTTCTATTGCATTGGGTGTGAGGATCACCTTGTTGTGAAGGAAAACATTTGGTGGAAAGCTCTGACAGGTAAGCTTTCGGATCTTGAGATTTATTCCTTGATTGTTCCACCAAGCCCGTATGGGTTTTGGTTTATGTTGTTAAGCAATGAGTGAATATAATGCGTGATATGTGTTGCTTCTTGTGTGGTGTAAGAGAGATTCTTACATGGGTATGTGGCAAGGTGGTTCCTTGTGTAATTCATACGGTATGTTGCATGGTTGCATAATTCATACATTGTTCTTTGGCCAATAGGATTATTTGTATTAAGCGTCCTATCGATGGTATGTTTACTAGGAGGGATATCTAGGATACTGTCATTTGTATTCTATTGACGGTGTGAGGAACAAGTAGGAATATTAGATAGTTATTGCACACTTTGCATGCATACATATATTCATGATTATGTTATTTATTGCTTTATGCTTAAAGTGAACTTTGGGGTGGAGGAATCCTCCAAAGAACCCTAATTTACTGAGATGTTATCTCACTCCACATTTTGGGGACTCCCTTTCAGGTACTGATGGTGCAGGAGCATCTATTGGCAGGATGCCACAGTAGATTGCTTAGTCATGACATGTTTTGATGTATTTTGGAGCATCCTATGTATATGTTAGATGATCATGTATATGATACATATTTTAGCTCATTTGATATATCATGATGTATTTTGTGGACTTAGACTATGATCAATCCTCTTTGGTATCTTCCTGTTGTTAGATGGAGCAAAGGACTTTGGTCATATTAGATTAAATAAAATTATAATAATAGAAAATAATAATAATTTCGTAGCATTCCCTCCCTCTTCAAGATTGTCCACAAGAGTTAGATCATGTAATTGCATCTTCTTTCAAATTCTTGTTTGCATCTCCATCGCTTTCCTTCATCATTGCATAGATTAAGAACAACTTCTTACATCCATGGCTTAGAGTATCTCATTGTCATGGAAACTCGATTCCTTTTGCCTTTGATTTTCTTGGAATGTCAGTTGGTGAATCAGTTGTGGAGTATTCCATTTCGAGTTGAAAATTATTCATAAGATAACATAATAAAGAATTGGAAGATGATTGTTGAGTCCCACACCTTGTCTTGTTCCGATGATAACAAACAAGTGAAGCCAAATTATCTAACAATTTTTTTAATTTTTAAAAGGTTGTTGCGGGACCTAATTTTTGATGAATTATGTACAAATGAATGCAATATAATTGTCATTAAATCGTGAAGATCAAAGTTGAAAGATTTTATCAGATTTAATGTAATTGGATGAGGTGAATTGTGATCATTCCTTGGATTAAATTCTCTTAAAGTTTTGGAAACTAAGAAAGGAAGATAGAAAAAATATTTTTAATCTAAATAAATTTTTAGTATTTGAATTTTGATTTGAGATAAAATTCCTTTTTGAAATATTTTATTTAATTTTGGAAAGTGAATTGTTGGAAAATTATTCTAAATTTTTTGATTATATTTTTAATAAAAAAAAGTTTGGAAATTTTTCTTAAAAATCATGATAAAATTTAGATATTTTTTCTTTAATAATTGATTTTGAGAAAAAATCTATAAATACCATACTTTGAGTATTCATTCAAAGTGTGGGCGAGCATTAGGGGTGAAACTGGGCCGGCCCGGCCTACAGGGGTCTACGGCTCGGCCTATATCAGGCCATATCTGACCTAGTATATTTTGTATAATAGGCCGGGCTTGGACCTTAAAAAAGCATGTTTAATAAAAAGGTTGTAGGCCCACTTTCAAAAGGCCGGGCCTATAAGCCCACATGCACCTATATTGTACTATTTATTTTAAATAAAATAAAATAGAGTAAGTATGTCTTGAAAAAAAACAAAAGATATAAATTTAATCAATTGCAATTATTTATAACTTAATTATATTCGATTATATTTTAATAGAAATCTTATTTTATTTCTTATATAAGAGGAACCAATATCTCAACATGTTAGATTGTATATATGAATATATTAAAAGATTTTTGGGAAAGTTATACTTACTACAAGCATCATGATTTGTTTGTTGGATTCATGTAGTTATTTTAATTTACATAGTATGAATTTGTTATTGGATCTGATGAAATATATGTTATTTAGTTTGAGCATTTTGCTTTCAAAAATGACTTAAGTGCATATTGTATGAGTTTTGTTATGATTCATGATTCTGTTTGGATGTTGAAATTATGATTTTTGGTGTAACAACTGAATTTGAGTACTTTGTAAAGTTGATTCATGGTTCTGCTTGGAAGTTAAATTTAACAGGCTAACGGGCCAAGCCAGGCCATTTGTTTTTTTATAAACGGGTCAAACCAGGCTAACAGTTAGACTCATACTAGGCTTGGGCCAGCCAAATTAAAATTTTTTGACGTAAGCTTGGGCTTTTCGAGGCAAAATTTGGCCCAGCCCAGCCCACTTTCACCCCTAGCGAGCATTCAAGAGAAAGAGCGCATTGCATGTAAGGCGCATTTAAAATTATTTGTCCATCAAGGTATGAACACATCATTGAGTCCACCACTTATGTTTGATTTGTATAATTTGCTTATTGATTAGAAGCGTGTAAGGTAATTTTTAATTTTTGTAGCTATTGTTAGAGCAGGCAATAAGGGAGCAATTATCCAGTGATAATTGCGGTTTCATACTTTTGGCTTGAGTTGAGTTGAAAGTGTGTTTAACAATTGTCCATAAATGAACAATTGAGGAGTAATTTATTAGTGTACATTGGGGTACATAAATCTAGAGATAAGTTTGGAAGAATTTTTGTGTAAAAGTAAAATATCTTCTATTCTTGTATTTCGAATTAAGCGTGACTCAAATAAGTGGATTAGTCTCCGCACTATACAGGTATCCAGATTGGGGTTATGGTTTTTGTCCTTTTGAAATTTTTCCCACATAATTACTTGTGTTATTTCTTTACTATTCTTTTATTGGTTAAAATTATTATTGAAAAATCAACTCTGATCTAAATTCTAAATTCATTAAGTCTGAATAATTCAATTCACCCTCTCTTAAGTTCAGAGGCGGACCGAAGTGAAAGAGAAGGGGGGCACGTGCCCCTCCTTAAATTGTAATGTGAAAAGTCTAAAATACCCCTCAATTAAAATTTAAATTTACTCCTATTTTATTTTTTACTTTTTCTCCTCCACCTGTTACTAGATCTGGCATCTCCATTAAACGAAATTCTGGTACAGCAGAAGCCAGAAGCAGTCTTCATCGGAGACAAAGAGGAGAAAGCTGTATAAGATTTTCTCCTCCACCCTTCAACTTTGTTCTCTTTTTGTATTTTCATTCCTATCATGTAAGTGTAATGGGTTAGATCTTATTTTATTTGACTTTTTTTTTTGTGATTCTTATCAGATCTGATTCTTTCACTTCCGTCCGCCTCTGCACCCAGTCCCAGGTATTGTTACTCTTTACCTTCAATCTCCAATTATTGAGTGTTGTCGGTTTATTTTTTTTTTATCGATTTATTATAATACTTTACTATAATACTTTACTAGATTTACTATAATTTAGAATCCATAACTATAGGTTCTGCCGTTCTGGATAGTGGAATTCGTATAGGATATCACAATATAAATGAAGCCAAATCAGAGGCACATGCGAGATTGTAGGGTCATGATTCTAGGGTGATTCTTTAAATTAAGAAAGGGGAGGGTGATTCTAGGGTCTCCTTTAAATTAAGAAAGGCAAGTAGGAGGAGGGCTATTTCTAGCTTCTGTGAACATTATAAAAAGCTAAGTTTATTTAGTTGTTAAATAAACGGTCTTGGGATCACCAAGTGGAATAATAATGATATTAATTTTTAGGGGAATTCTAATCCATGAGATGAGAGGAATCCAATAAGCTAGGAAAGTGTTTTTTTATACAAAATTTGAAAAAACGTATATTCTCTTTAATGGGTTAATATTTCGGGTTCAAGCAAACAACATCTGAAGTGTCAAAATTGTCGTTTATGTGTATAGCACAAATAAGTTCTTAATTTTTAATCAGGCATTCAAGTGCTACATTATTTGGTAGAAAATATGTAGGTTTCTTTATGCATATTGAGTGTCGGTTTCTTTTTTTTTATTATTGATTTATTTTTGTCATTTGTCATTTTTTAGGATGGAAAGATATGTAGGTTCTTTTTTTACGAAGTCAAGTAGTGGTAGTACTAAACGTGCTCGATCCGAATCTGCATCTGTTGATTTATTTCAAGATAAACAAAATGAGTGTGCTACTCCCTCGAGTCAGAACAAACCAACAGTAGAAGGTCCACCGGATTTGTATGTTCCTGATCCGGGTAAAAGACTTCCTATTATGAGATTTGCGAAGAGTGCTCAAGAAAGGGAAATGATTCGAAGAATTTATCTAACGAATGGTCCTTGTCAACAAAAACTGGACAACTTTCCTCAATCCTTAATTGGGCGTAAAATGCGTAGATTTAATCCTCAATGGTACAATGAGTTTGGCACTTGGTTGAAGTATAGTGAATCAAAAGATGCTGTATTTTGCTTGCATTGTTATCTATTTAAATGTGAGCATGGTGATGGAAGGGGTGGTCATGATTCATTTGCAGGAGAAGGATTTAGCAATTGGAAGGAAAAACAACGGCTTTTTAAACATATTGGGAAAGTTAGAAGCATTCATAAGTTGTGCTTCAGTGCTGCCAAAGATTTGATGAATCAAAATCAACATATTGACATTGTTGTGTCTGGCATTTCTGACAAAGCCAAACAGGATTATCGTATTCGTCTGAATGGTTCTATTCGATGTATTCGATATCTCATACGACAAGGTTTGACTTTCCGGGGACATAATGAGACAGATGCTTCAATGAATCAGGGAAATTTTGTGGAGCTTGTAAAATTCCTTTGCGAAAGCAATGGGGAGGTAAATAATGTATCTTTGAATAATGCCCCAGATAATCTCAAAATGATAGCTCCCTCAATTCAGAAAGATATTACTAGTGTTGCTGCTAGTTTAGTTACCAGAGCTATTATTTCAGATATTGGGGATAATTTCTTCTCTATACTAGTTGATGAAGCTCGTGATATATCAATTAAAGAACAGATGGCCATTGTTTTAAGATATGTGAACTACAACGGTGACATTATTGAGCGTCTTCTTGGTCTTGTTCATGTTTCAGATACTACAGCTAGTTCACTTAAAGAAAAGATTGAGATAATTTTTGCCAAAAATGGCTTGAGCTTGACAAAGATTCGTGGTCAAGGTTATGATGGCGCAAGCAATATGAGTGGTCAATTCAGTGGTCTGAAAAGCTTGATTTTAGTTGAAAATAATTCTGCTTACTATGTTCACTGCTTTGCACATCAACTTCAGTTAGCTCTAGTAGCTTGTGCTAAAAAGGTTTACGCTTTGACTGATTTCTTTAATTTTATACCGTTGTTGTGTAATGCAGTTGGTGCTTCTTGCAAAAGAGCAGATATTTTGAGAGAAAAGCAATTTGATGAGCTAGTAAAAAGTATTGCAAGCAATGATGTTCAATCAGGGAGAGGCTTGAATCAAGAAATGAGTTTGTCACGACCAGGGGACACACGTTGGAGCTCACATTACCGATCATTGGTAAGTCTGTGTACATTGTTTGATCCTGTGCTTGATGTGCTAGAAATTATAAAAGATGATACAACTCTTATGCATGCAAAAAGGTCTGAAGCCTCTGGCCTTATGATGCGTATGCAAACTTTTGAATTTGTATTACTTTTGAACCTGATGATCAAGGTCTTGGCAATAACGAATGAGTTGTCACAAGCACTTCAAAGAAAAGATCAAGATATTGTAAATGCTATGACTCTTGTAAAAGTTTCAAAGGTGTTATTACAGAAGATGAGGGATAATGGGTGGGATAATCTATTTAAGAAGACTTCTGATTTTTGTATAAAACATGATATAGATATCCCTGATATGGAAAGTGTACTTGCATTACAAGGCAGAACAAAACGTAGAGGACTAGTTACTCATCTGCATCACTTTAAGGTTGACATATTTTATGCAGTGATAGATACTCAACTTCAAGAGTTGAATGATCGTTTTAGGGAAGTTAGTTCAAATTTGCTGGAATGCATGGCATGTTTAAACCCGTGCAACTCTTTCTCGGCATTTGACAAAAATAAGTTGTGTGAATTTGCTGGCTGTTATCCTTCGGATTTTGATTTGAATGATTTTGTCATGCTTGAATATCAGCTCGACACGTATATTTTTGATATGCAAAGTGATCCTGATTTTTTGAATTTGCAAGGAATAGCTGATCTTGCCAAGAGGATGGTTGAAAAGAAAAAACATATTGTGTATCCTTTGGTTTATTTACTTGTAAAGTTAGCATTGACTTTGCCCGTAGCAACTGCATATGTGGAAAGAGCATTTTCAGCTATGAAATACATCAAGACTGCACTTCGTAATCGGATTGGAGATGAATGGTTGAATGATTGTTTAGTGCCATATATTGAAAAAGATGTATTTGATAGCATTGGTAATGAGGCAATTATGAAGGAATTCCAAAAAATAAGGCCTAGAAGAATGACATTGTAATTATTTTTATTGTAATATACGTTTATTATTAAAATATATGTACTTGAACTTGAGTGCCCCCTTCTTCAAATTTCTGGATCCGCCACTGCTTAAGTTCATCCGGAACGAACATGAGACATTAATTTATTAACTAAAATACGATAGTTTTTGCTTAAACATCGGGACCACAATTCCATCCTTTAATAAATACAATATTTTAGGATTATAACTCTTCTTAACTCCGTAATTAAATTATATAACAAGATTTTCTTAAACTTCTTTGTTATAAGAATTTTCCTAAACAATTAAGATGCACCCGTCATACCGAACTCAGTGCGACCGTAGTACATTTTTATTAAAATATATATGGTGCTAGAAATTTGTGCAAAATTCACGTATGTATTCTAGTAAAAATATACTCCCACTTTGTTCCGAGGAGAGGTGGGAAAAAGAAAGTCAAAATTCCAACACCTGTCCCATGAAACCAAAGGTCTCTTCTCTCTCTCACACACAGTTTCACTTAGAGAGTCCATTGGCGCCAAACAAAAGAAAACCCATTCCCTAAATTTGCATCCCCGCCAAATCCAATGTTAAGAAAAAATGAAACCACTTTCAAATAAACAAGATATGCTTCCTTCTCCTTAATAGTCACATACATTCCCTCAAAGGAAACAAATTTAAGCCATGGGTTCCTCTGTTCCTCTAGATTCTTCTCAATCTCAACCCTCTCCCACTTCCAATTCAGGTTTATAAACACTTTTCTTTTCTTTCTTCTCTTCTCTTGTCTTTGGGTTTTTTTTGTTTTCATTAACGTTGTTGCTTTTGTGACACCATCGTACTCCCACCCTTTCTAGTGGTTGTGTTTTTGCTTTTCTTCACCAGGTTTTCTTTCTTCTTCTTCTCTTTGGGTGTTTTTTGTTCTCATGCATTGAGTTTTCAGTGTGGTTTTGGATAAATGATTCTAGTATTTTTTTGTTTTTTTGTCTTCTTTTCTAGATACCCATTTTTGTTTTCTCGTGATTGTTGTGTTAAAGATTCGATCTTTGGGCTTTGCGTTTTGAAGCCTTTGAGTTGAAGATTCAGATTGATAATTTTTCTTGTTTCTTCGACCATGATCTGCTTCGTACGTTGTGATTATTGTTGTTGTTGTTGTTGTTTTGTAAATGCGTTGTTTTTGGACCAGTTGTTACTGCTTATTGATATGTTGGAATTGAATTGACTCGTGTTTGGGATTTTGTGTTACTTTGGGTTTATTATTGTTAGCTGAATGTTTGATTTGATTTGAAGTGTTATGAGATCTTAATTCACTAACATTCAAGAGTGGACATATACTCTTACTTTAGAAGAGTTTTTCCCTTTTTTTTTTTGGTTAGAGAAATAAACTATGAATATAACCTCACCTAACAGCTTAATCTTTTAGATTGAATTGGTTCTTTATACATTTTATTGGATGCACTTGTGAGTATTCGTGACCAAGCTCATTGGCTAATTACTGAGTGGTTCTGATAGAAACTTGATTGAACTCACAGTAATTGGAAAGAAAGCAGTGTATATGATATTATCCTACTGATTTAAGTATAGAGGAATTACAGTGTATATCAGAAAGAAAACAAATACAGTGATTCTAACTTGGTTCCTACACTTCCTTCTCTCTCTTTTATGTTTCTTGCTTCCTAATGTGGTTACAACCGCTTTTCGCGCCAAGAAGAGAACTTACACTTTCTTGCCTTGCTTTGGCTCTAAACCCCTAAGCCCCTTCTTAAAATATGCCTCAGTAACCAAGTGGTTTTCCTAACATGTTTATTCTTTTGTTTTAATGTCTTCAATTTTCCAATTCAGGTTTTGCAGCAATGGTAGATAGTAGAAGTTGGGTGCTCATTAATGCAATACTGCTAGGTGTAATTACAGAATTTCAGTAATGCATTGCGATGAATAACAATTAAATTTTATATTGCTATGTGGATTTTTTGTTTGTTTGTTTTTTTTAAGTAAGAAGTTTAAAAGAAACGAATAATGGAATTGGAAATAAATCAAACCTTTTGGGAATCTATTTGGTGCCTGCATAGAATAAGCATTGGATTTAACATCCAATACATCTCAATGCAGGTAAGGTTTAATTTAATTTAATTTATATTCATGTGCACGTCTCAAGTAACTGTTATGCTCATGTAAGATTTTACACATCATGCGTTTTTTTTATGGTTGCTCTTCTTTTTTATTACTTTCTGTGTCATTTTCTTACTCATTTTTTTCCCCTGCCTTTTCCTTTCTCATATCCTTTGAGTTAATCACATATCTCTTCGTTACCACTACCAGTAGTCTTATTTTTGTTATGTGAAAAGATAGAAAGATTGTGTATAGATGCTAGCTCTGCCTTATAAGAATAGTGGTTAGAATGATTTATTATTATTATTATTTTCTTTTTCTGCTTTTCTTTTATCAATTTTCATAAAAGGAATTGAATGTATTCTATTTGATTATTCCACTGCCTTGTTTCCATTATTTTAAGACTGGGGATTCGCACAATCGTATTCACTATATGATTGCTCGTTTTTTGTTCTTCAAAAACATAGGCTTCACACAATCTTTCTATGTGAGTCATGTGACCCAAATTATGACTTACTACTTATTAGTTTTGAGAGAGTTATGGTTAAATTAATACATCATTCATATGATACATTTCAAACTATTTTTTGTTGGGTCTTTGAATCTTATGGTTTGATACTGTTGAGATATATAAAAACCATTAATGTAACCTCACTCAACAGCTTAAGCTTTTGGGTTGAATTGGTTTTTTACATGGTATCAGAGCCTCGTGTCTCGGGTTCGATCCTCGCCGCCCCTCACTTTCTTTCAAGTGGAATTTCTTTGTTCGCACAGGTAGGTGGGCCTGTGCATTATCCACTCTTCAAGCCCAGTGGGCTCTCGTGTGAGGAGGCGTGTTGAGATATATAAAAATCATTAATGTAACCTCATCCAACAGCTTAAGTTTTTGGGTTGAATTGGTTCTTTACAGATACAATTCATGATTCAAAAATTAGCTTGGCGATTCACAATTTGAATTGTAATTTGATAGCCTTGCTTCTAACTTATAATCTAACATAAATTACTTAGATGTATTCCTCTTCATTTACTTGCTCCCATACTGTGTATTTTTTATTGTTTGTTTGATCATGTGTGAAAGTTCTATTTTCTTTTGCTTTTTGTCCTTTTTTAAAGGCATTTTGCATGATTATGATGCTTATAAATCTCTCTTTTTTCTGTCTCTTGCCTATCTCATTTGCCTTTTATTTATACCACTTACCTTGGTCTCCTTACAAAATTATAAATTTGCAATTTTCTGTTTGTTTCTTTTAATCTTAAAATCAGGTGTTAAAAAAAACAAGAGTAAACAGAAATCTGCTGTTTCCAAAACTGAAGAGGAAGTTATGGCTGGAGATGGAGATAAACGAAAGAAACGAGGTTTGTCAGAAAGAAGTGAGCAGCCTGCTGCTACTCGCAAAATGCCAAAACGGGCTGCAGCATCAAAAAATTTGAAGGAGAAATCCTTTTCCATATCTGAGAAATCTTCTCTCATTGAAACAAAGAAGGATCAAACTGTAGATGAAGAAACTCTGGCTGTCCGCCTGACTTCTGGACAAGATGAAGGTCGTCCAAATAGAAGAATTACAGACTTTATCCTTCATGATGAAGATGGTAAAGCACAGCCACTTGAAATGCTGGAAGTTAATGATCTATACATCTCTGGAGTTATATTTCCTTTTGAAGGAAGTACAGACAAGAAAAAAGAGAAAGGTATTAGATGTGAAGGCTTTGGTCGAATTGAATCATGGAATATATCTGGCTATGAAGATGGCTCTCCAGTGATATGGCTTTCTACTGATGTTGCTGATTATGATTGCCAGAAACCAGCTACTAGTTACAAAAAAATTTATGATCCTTTCTTTGAAAAGGCCCGAGTATGTATAGAAGTATACAAAAAACTTGCAAAGTCTTCTGGTGGAGACCCTGACATAAGTCTTGATGAGTTACTTGCTGGCATGGCACGGTCTATGAGTGGTAGCAAGTCCTTTTGTGGAACTGCATCTCTAAAGGATTTCATTATTTCTCAGGGTGAGTTCATTTATAAGCAGCTCGTAGGTTTGGAGATGACATCGAAGACAAATGACAGGATGTTTGCAGATATTCCTGCTCTTGTTGCTCTTAGAGATGAGAGTAAGAAACAAGCAAACCATGTACATGCACAGGTAATGCCTTCAAATCGGAGTTTAACAATTGATTCTGGAATTGGAGATGAAGAGAACAACAATGAGATGAATTCAATGACTTCTGTAGCTGAGGAGGATGAAGATGCAAAGTTAGCAAGGCTATTGCATGAAGAAGAGTATTGGAAATCTATGAAGCAGAAGAAAAACCCAAGGTCATCCTCTGCATCTAATAAATACTATATCAAAATTAACGAAGATGAGATTGCCAATGATTACCCTCTCCCTGCTTATTATAAAACCTCCCTTCAAGAAACAGACGAATTTATAGTCTTTGATAATGACTATTACGTGGATGACATTGAAGATCTTCCTCGAAGCATGCTGCATAATTGGTCTTTATATAACTCGGATGCAAGATTGATTTCCTTGGAACTTCTTCCTATGAAGCCTTGTTCTGAGATTGATGTTACAATCTTTGGATCAGGTATAATGACTTCAGATGATGGAAGTGGGTTCCATTTGGATACTGAGAATGGCCAATCTTCTTCCAATGGTTCTGGAGCACAGGTTGCTGATGGAATTCCAATTTATCTGAGTGCCATAAAGGAATGGGTAATTGAATTTGGATCGTCTATGATTTTCGTATCTATCAGAACAGATATGGCCTGGTATGGTGCCTTAAATGCTATTTGTGTTTTTTTTTTTATATTTCTTTGATCTATAACATGACAATTATTTCTGTACGTTAATGCATGATAGGGATATAGGCAGTTGTGTTTATACTTCATAGCGATCTTATTCTAAATGAAATAAAATTAGAAAATCCATTTGCTTTTGAACTTGAATATCAATCTGTCAATTTAAGTTATTTGCAAACAAAACTATTGCATGTAAATTGGGTTAACTGTCTTGGATGAATCTGGTCATATGAGTGAAACATGTATACATAGTTTATGTTCATGTATCTTAGAATAATTTGGTTGTAAGTGTCATAATGTCTTTGCTAAATGATGACCAGACTCAGCCCCACTTCATTCCTTTCAGGTATAGACTTGGCAAACCATCAAAGCAGTATGCTCCTTGGTATGACACAGTTTTGAAAACTGCAAGGCTTGCTATAAGCATTATCATGTTGTTGAAGGAGCAGAGCCGAGTATCGCGACTTTCCTTTGGAGATGTCATCAGGAAAGTATCTGAGTTTAATCGGCAAAATATGTCTTACATTTCTTCTGACCCGTTGGCTGTTGAGAGATATGTTGTTGTCCATGGACAGATCATTCTGCAACTGTTTGCAGAATTTCCTGATGAAAAGATCAGAAAGTCTGCATTTGTGACTGGTCTAACGAACAAAATGGAAGAACGACACCATACTAAATGGTTAGTGAAGAAGAAGAAAGTTGTGCCCGGGAGTGAACCAAATTTAAATCCTAGGGCAGCAGTGGCTCCTATTGTCTCCAAGAGGAAGGCTATGCAAGCTACGACAACGAGGCTGATCAATAGGATATGGGCAGAGTATTACTCAAACCACTTGCCAGAGGATTCTAAAGTGGGAACTGCTAGTGAATTAAAGGATGAGGATGAAGTGGAGGAATTGGAAGGGAATGAAGATGAGGATACTGAGGAGACATTAGACATGGAGGGAACCCAAAAGCCACCTTCAGTTTCCAAACAAACCAAAATATTTTCTGCTGACAAAGAAATAAGATGGGAAGGGGATCCTGAAGGGAAGACCAGTTCTGGATATCTTCTGTATAAGCAGGCAATTATTCATGGGGAAGTTATTTCTGTGGGAAGATCTGTGTTAGTGGAAGTTGATGATTCAGATGAACTTCCTGTTATATACTATGTTGAATATATGTTTGAATCAAAGGTTGGACGTGGACAAAAAATGTTTCATGGTAGGATGATGCAGCATGGTTGTCAGACTGTTCTTGGCAACACTGCTAATGAGAGAGAGGTGTTTTTGACTAATGAATGCAGGGATTTGGGACTGCAGGATGTTAAGCAGACAGTTGTTGTAAATATTCAAAAAGCGCCTTGGGGGCATCAGCATCGGAAGGATAATATTATTGCACGTAAACTTGATAGGGATAGAGCAGAAGAAAGGAAGAAGAAAGGACTACCTAGTGAATATTACTGTAAAAGCCTGTACTGGCCTGAAAAAGGTGCTTTCTTCAGCCTTCCGTTTGATACTTTGGGTCTAGGGTCTGGCATGTGCCACTCTTGCAAATTAAAAGAAGACCAAATGGAGAAGGATGTTTTCAAAGTAAATCCATCTAAGTCTGGTTTCCTATTGAGAGGAACTGAATATTCTCTTAATGATTATGTTTACGTAAGTCCTTTTGACTTTGAGGAAAGGAGAGAGCAGGCAACTTATAAGAGTGGGAGGAATGTAGGGTTGAAAGCTTATGTTGTGTGCCAAGTGCTCGAGATCATTGTCAAAAAGGAAATAAAACAAGCTGAAATGAAATCTATACAGGTCAAGGTTAGAAGGTTCTTCCGACCTGAAGATGTATCTAATGAGAAGGCATACTGCTCTGATATACAAGAGGTGAAAGCTTCTTAGAAGTTAAAACCTAATTATCACAAATAATTTTACAGAAAGAGCAAGAAAAACTAAACATAGCCTTTGTATCAGGCATAGATGGCATTGTTTTGTAAATTTTTTATTTGGTTTTTTTTCTTCAACAAGTCATCCTTGCCTGATCTAATTGACTGTGATAAGTGAGCTGCTCTCTGTGCACGCATATTGTTGTTATCTTTTGAGTAGTGGTTCTACTTTGTGTTTCTTGTCTGTGTGTTTTTTTATATTGACTTAGATTACATGATTTATAATTTTAGGTGTATTATAGTGATGAAACACATATAATCTCTGTACAATCCATAGAAGGGAAATGTGAAGTGAGAAAGAAGAATGATATCTCCGAAAGCAGTGCCCCTGGAATCTTCCAAAATGCATTTTTCTGTGAGCGTTTGTATGATCCTGCTACTGGGTCACTCAAACAGGTAATGTATACTTGGCCCTGTTTATAATTTGCTTGTTAACCCATCAGATAAATATGCAAAAACATCAGGATTTTATAATTTATAAATTTTATGATTTCTATTATAAATGAGTGTGGTCTTTATCCTGTATACTTGGACTCATGTTATTGAACTGATCCACATCTAGCTGGTCATTATCCTGTAACTGTAAGCTGTGTTCTATTCTCTCGTCATTTAATTCATGTCCACAACCTATCTGTAGTAATACGTATCAATGATTGTTATATGAGGTGCGTGTTGCACTGTGACAGAATCTAGCCAAAGCATGATCTTGTTGCCTGGTCCCATTATATTTACTTTCTATTGTATAATTTTAAGGAGTTTAAGTTTGACCCACTAACCGTGTCAATTATTTTTACACTAATGGTATACTTGAACGTACCACACTTGAAGCAATTAAGGTTTTTTTACATGTAATAGAAAAGAACTCTTTTAGAAACAGGTGGTGTCATATGGACATGGTTAACTGGTAGAGTAAAACACTACACTGTTAGTGGTTCAAAATTAAATCCAAAGTTGAAAATTTTAATCATTGCAAATATTCTATAAAGATATCCTTGCTGCCGCTATTTTTTATTAAACTTTAGTTATGTATTTTAAAGGTAATATATTAAATAATTATTATTATTATTATTATTATTGATGACATCAATTCAACATTCTGGTGTAAAATATTCAACAATTTATCAATTTTTTCAATTGCTCTACAGTTGCCAGCTCATATCAAAGTAAAATATTCAAGTGGAAATAAAGATGATGCTGCTAGAAAGAGAAAAGGAAAGAGTAAAGAGGGAGCTAACATTTCAGAGTCTGATAATGAAACAAAAACATTGGATGAAAAACGTTTAGCAACCTTGGACATTTTTGCAGGTTGTGGTGGTTTATCAGAGGGGCTGCAGCAGTCGGGTAATTTTAACTACACTATTATAGCAAGAAAGTGAAGAAACACAACTGTATCTGCTATCAATGCATAATATAACATGTGTGTGACTGATTGAATGCTTCAGGAATTGCATTAACTAAATGGGCTATTGAGTACGAAGAACCAGCTGGGGATGCGTTTAAAGCTAATCATCCTGAAGCATTGGTGTTTATTAACAATTGCAATGTTATTCTTAGGTAAATGATCCCAAAAAGATAAAAATATTCTAGGCCCCTAGCTTGAATAGAGTGAAACCCATATAAGTAACTCATAAATGCTTTGTAATGCAGGGCTGTAATGGAGAAGTGTGGGGACACAGATGATTGTATCTCAACATCTGAGGCTGCAGAATTGGCTGGGTCACTTGATAAGAAGGAAATAAGCAGTTTACCAATGCCTGGGCAAGTTGATTTCATTAATGGGGGACCTCCATGTCAGGTCTGTTTAGCTGTTGGCTTTGTTTCCATTCTACTGATAATAATACTTTATGGTGGTTATTGATTGAATTATGCCTTGTTCAAGGGTTTCTCTGGGATGAATAGGTTTAACCAAAGCAGTTGGAGTAAAGTCCAGTGTGAGATGATATTAGCATTCTTATCCTTTGCTGATTATTTTCGGCCAAGGTATTTCTTGTTGGAGAATGTGAGGAACTTTGTGTCTTTTAACAAAGGGCAAACATTCCGTTTAACATTGGCTTCACTTCTTGAGATGGGCTATCAGGTAAAATCACATAACTGCATCTTTCTTCCTGAGTAGTTACACTTTAGAGTTGATGAATAGAATCTTGAGAAACTAATCAATGCTGATTTGCTTCTCCAAAAGGTGAGGTTTGGTATCCTTGAGGCTGGAGCTTATGGTGTTTCCCAGTCAAGAAAAAGGGCATTTATATGGGCAGCTTCTCCAGAGGATGTGCTTCCTGAGTGGCCAGAACCAATGCATGTCTTTGCTGCCCCTGAGTTGAGAATCACATTATCAGAAAATGTCCAGTATGCTGCTGTCCGTAGTACTGCAAATGGTGCGCCATTACGCGCAATAACTGTTCGGGATACCATTGGTGATCTCCCAGCTGTGGGCAATGGAGCCTCTAAAGCAAATATGGAGGTACGTAAAATAGGAAAGATACATGTTATATATCCACACTTGACCGGCTTCATCGCCCAAATCCATAGGCTGGCCTTTAGAGGCTCATTTAAGAGGTCATTCCCCTGTCTCTCTAAAGTGAAAATCATAGACCCTCAATACAACTCACCATTGTACACTTAATGGTTCGCTTTCTCACTCACAACAGTGAGGTCATGGTCAAAACAGTTATGGTGACATACTTCACCTCTCAAGGGATATAGATCGAAGCTCTTTTATATGAACATTTCAATATCCTTCCACCCTTAAATTGATTTGCCTCCACACTCATTATTTACCTGGTTTTATGTTGCACAGTATCAACATGATCCCGTCTCATGGTTTCAAAAGAAGATTCGAGGTGATATGGTTGTCTTGACTGATCATATATCAAAGGAGATGAATGAGTTGAACTTGATTCGATGTCAGAAAATTCCCAAGAGACCAGGTTGTGATTGGCGTGATCTTGCAGATGAAAAGGTAAAAGTCAAATTCTTGTGATTTTTAGCATTAACACTTTTTGTGATTTATCTAATTCATGATATCTAATCAAATGCAGATAAAATTATCTACTGGGCAAGTTGTTGATTTGATACCTTGGTGCTTGCCAAACACAGCCAAGCGGCATAATCAATGGAAGGGACTGTTTGGTAGGTTGGATTGGGAAGGAAATTTTCCAACTTCCATAACAGACCCTCAACCAATGGGGAAGGTTGGAATGTGCTTCCATCCTGACCAAGATAGGATTCTTACTGTTCGTGAATGTGCCAGATCTCAAGTAAGTCTATTACTGTAGTTAGCTGTCACCCTAAATGCTATGATAAGATATGGAATCCTAACAAATTTGATATTAATTATTGTGTGATTTGATTTCTGGTATTTCGGAATTATTATGGGAATTCTAACCAAGTTATTCAAATACTTGAACAGTAATAAGATCCTGATCTGTGTCAGTTCATAGTTTAAATTGGCAATGTGCAAGAAACTAGATTCTATAACTAGTGAACATAATATCTATCCCTTAGTTCATAGTTCATAATTTTACCATTGCTCCAAAACTCACCCTCTAGTGAGCAAAAATAGTCCTTAATTATAAAACTGGTGGTCCTGACAATCTCTTCCTTATAAATAGGAAAATATAATCTGATTTGGTATTATCTTACCATATTTTTCATCTATAAATGCAGGGCTTCCCAGATAGCTACCAATTTGCTGGCAACATCATACACAAGCACAGGCAGATTGGTAATGCTGTTCCTCCTCCACTGGCACTTGCTTTAGGGAGAAAGCTCAAGGAAGCGGTGGATAATAAGAGCTCCAGTTAGAAGATGGGGCATACATATTGTAAAGAGCATTCTTATCTTACAGATTAAAGGATTGAATTGCATTCACCAAGAAATTGTAATTTTTCTTTCAGGGGTCCAGAAATTTTGTAGAGTGGGATCCCTTGGTCATTTGTTCTAGGTTAATTCCTTATATAACTTTCTTGAACCAGAGAATTGAATGGATAATGTTGTAAAAACTCATTTTGTATCAACTTGGATTTTATTGATTGGGTGATATTTTGGCTTTTACTTTTTGAAAGATTCTGTGGGATATACCTCCCAATGTGTATTTAAATTTGACAATTGACGACAATGTTGTTTTTTTTTTCAGAATTTTTTTTAAATTATATACATTAATAGATGTATGAATTTAGAGGAAGAATATTGTAACAACCAATTAGTGTTACTACTAATGTTATGACCAATTAATTTTATCGTTAGATCAATTATGTTAATATAACGTTTTTATTTATTTCCATCATTGTATGATTATTATTCGCCATATTTAATGCTTTCACTTTAAAAATGATAAATTATAATCATATAAAGATGAAAATAAATATAAAGTATTAAATATGAAGAATTATAATCATACAAAGATAGAAATAAATATAATCGTTAGATTAATATAATTGATCTAACGGTAAAATTGATTGGTAGTAACATTGATAATAATACTAATTGGTTATTACAATATCATACCTCGTGAATTTATACAAATTCTTAAAATCTTTGCTCATTAATAAATATATATGTACGAATACTATACTGTTATGTTATTTAATATTATTACTTAAGTCATCAATATTAATGTAGATTAAATTTACAGAATATTCTCTTAAAATAAACAACAAAAAATGCAATAAATTTAATTAACTCATTTATATAAAAAAGGAAATGAGGGAATATCATTAGAATGAGAGCGTAATACAAGAATACGATAAGATTAAGTACTTGTTTGAGAACTTTTATTTTTAGTTTCTCTTCTTTTTATAAGTAGAATCTTAATTAAACATGTTTTTACAAAAAAAATTATTATAAATTTTTTTTTTTGTTATGATAAAAAAATAAAAGAAAAAATGTGTCATTTTAAAAGATATAAAATTGTGTTATTTTAAGTAAGAGAAAGAGATAGATAAAAGAAAAGAGAGAGTAGACAAAAAAAATAAAAGTACGGGTTCTATTTTTTTTTTTTTTGATACATAGTGTGGGTTCCATTTCTTTTAAAAATAAAATGAACAAATTATATTATTTAAAAAAACAAATACTTTTCCTATTAGTTAAAAAACTTCCACGATAAACATTTTTTAAAGATATATACTAACTTCTCAGATTTGGGTAACAATTTCTCACCCAGCCCGCTGACATGATTGTGACACAACACGTAACTTTCGTATTCGAGTTAACAAAATATGATATGAAAATAATTATGTCGTGTCATGTTGCATATCAATATGCAAACTAAAAAATGACCCGCAAATTCAAAATTACATGTTTAGTCTTCTCTTTACTCGTTCCTTTATGGGTATTGAAATAATTTTATATTATAAAATTTAAAAAGAAAAAGTAATCCTATAGTGTCCAGATTTCACGTATACTTACCATTCGATTCGGGTTTTTTCTTTTAGTTCCAACTTTCGGCAAAAAAAAATTGATATATTGTTTTTTAAATAAAAAATTATAAATTTATAACAGTTTTAGAAATAATACATGTTTATTGTATAATATCACACTCAATTTGGACGTCATCAATCATGCCTAAATTGGCCGTCACTCAAGAGGCAATCACGTTTAATTTAGGCGTCACTCATCAGGTGTTGACACGTGTCACATTTTTGTTTCAAAAAATTTAATAATTTAATCGTAAAACTTCTGAAGGCCATAACTTTTGACTCGGGTATCCGAATCAGGTAATTTTTTTTTGATTCCACATAACTTTTCGAGAGCTACACAATGACACCTTATTTGACATATTTTATCTCTTACAAACACAATTTGAACTTGCAACAATGAGACTTTATCTTAGAAGTCGTGGTCTGAAATTAATGATGGCAACTTATATCTATATGAAAATAAGAACTCTTACCTTCATCATTATTCTATTTATATTTAATGTTCATACAAATTATATTACTTATCAATTTTACCGATCTTTTTACTATTTTTATTATGTTCTCTTATTTATTTTTTAATAATTTAACACACTATTAGGATTTGAGAGTTTAATCAAATATAATTTGTTTTATAAATTATATTATTGTATTGTTTGGGGGCATGTTATTGTCATAGTACTTTTCTTTTTATTTTATATTAAACTACATTGTCTCCCGTTATTATAGAAATAAATAAGGGAAATTTTATAATTACTATATTTTTTTCTTATCACTTGTTACTACTAAATCTTAACCGTTAATTTTTGTCAATCTAACGATTATAATTTATTGGGTCACACTTATTAATTAATTATAATTATTAATTTATTGGGTCACAATCTAACGATTATAAGATAAAGTCTCATTGTTGCAAATTCAAATTATGTTTGTGAGAAATAAAATATGTCAAATGAGGTGTCATTACGTAGATCTCGAAAAGTTATGTGGAATCAATTTTTTTTTTACCTGATTCGGATACCCGAGTCAAAAGTTATGGCCTTTTGAAGTTTTACGATTAAATTGTTAATTTTTTCTTGGAAAAAAAATGTGACACGTGTCAACACCTGATTAGTGACACCTAAATTAGGCATGATTGCCCCTTGAGTGACGCCTAAATTAAGCATGATTGGCGAACCCCAAATTGGGCGTGATATTGTGCAATAAATATGTAATTATTTCCAAAATAGCCATAAATTCATAATTTTTTATTTAAAAAACAATAAATCAAATTTTTTGCCTCCAACTTTCATAAACTGCGCCGCTCGTCTCTGTTTTGTAACTTCTAGTATTTTGATATAAGATTCAGAGCATATTTAGGAGGAGCTTGTTATCCTTTAAGGGGCATTTGGTACATGAGAAATTTTTTGGTGTCTGGAAATCATGACTACCAGAAATATGATAGGAAAGTGAATTACTCAGGAATGTTATAAAAAAGCTGTTTGGTATGCTAAAATATTACTGGGATTTTTTTGTAAAGTTTACTGAGTCTTTGTTTGGTTGATTGTGAAATATTAATGGAAAAATAACCTCACCTTTATTTTTTATTTTTTTTTAATATACAGAGAATCATCGTTGTTTTGTTTTCGCCAACCTTCAAGGCAAGCTGCGGCTTTTTTTATGACCCTCTTGCTCTGCTAATTGGCTTTAGCTTCACTTTATTTTTGAAAAAATGATAATGAAAGTTTTCTTTTTTCACAGAGAAACAATGGATCTCCCAAGAGAGAGAGAGAGAACCATACATGGCGGTCTGTCTTGCCGCCCTCGCCACTCCTTCGTTGTCGGTTGTCTTGCCGCCGTCGATGCTCTTGCCTTCGTTGCCGGTCCTCATGGATTTTCTCTTTTACTTGTGTGGATTTTTACACTTCTTCATATGTAGATCTCCCAGAAGTAGAGTGAAGGGGGAGCACCAAAATGCAGACACGTTCTGGAGAGGAAGGGCACATTTGTCCTAAAAAATTTGTGTCCAAATCCCTACACCTAGTAAACCAAAAAACCACCCCTTTGGAGGTATTTTGAGAAAGGAAAATGATTCACAATTTGTACATAATATGAAATGCAAGGCAAATCAGATGGCCTGGAAAATATTGTGAAAACTCCTACTAAACATGGGTATATATGAATCCCACTTTCACTTTCCTGTCATTCCTAATTTTTTCCCCCCACCATGTTATTATTTCAAGTTCTCTCTCTTACACAATTCGATAATGATTTTGTATAGTGACAATTTCTGATTGGAGAAGTTAAAACTGATTATTTGTAGCTTCACAACCTTTTATTCAGGTAAAATTTCCTTTCTTCAAACATATAGATAAATTATTTTACTTACTCTCATTTTGCCTACCACTCTTAACACAGTTAGATTATAATCTCATCTAACGGTGGAAATTTGCGAGATAAAATAAATCATTTTATCCATTTCTTTCCCCTCACTGTCTCTTACCCTTTTTTTCTCCTCCCACTCTTTCTCTCTATTTGTTATAACTCTTAGTTTTGATGAATGTGGTTGATGCTTACGATGCCAATAGTATAACAGTGATCGAATACCAAATCCCTAGCTTTCTCTTTTTTCAACGGCGCTTCAGCAACTAAAATTGTATGAATGTTAGTATGATTCAATAATAGCATGACTTAGAAAGGGCCAAATAATTTTTTTTTGGAAACAATTCTTGCATTATGCTCACAAACAAAGGCTTATTTCGGAAGTTCTAGTAACAAACATAAAATCTTGTTGTGAGTTTTAATTCATCCTCTGTCTTCGTCGATAGAAAGAAAGGGTGGGAGGAGAGAGAAAGGGTGAGAGACAGTGAGGGGAAAGAAAGAGGTAAAATAATTTATTTTATCTCACAAATCTCTATTGTTAGATGAGATTATAATCTATCGGTGTTGAGAGAGATAGATAAAGGTAGACAAAATAAAAGTAGGTAGAATGACCTATTCATTCTAAAATTATATAATTTGTGCATACTTTGTGTATTTATTTTAATTTTATAAATTTGTATTTTTCTGTTTGTTTCTTTTGATCTTAAAAATAAGTGTCAAGAGTAAACATTATTCATGGTATCTAATCAAATGCAGATAAAATTGCCTACTGGACTAGTTGTTGATTTGATACTTTGGTGCTTGCCAAACATAGTCAAGGGTTTATTTTATCTCGCAAATCTTCACTGTTAGATGAGATTATAATATAACAGCGTTGAGAGGGGTAAGCAAAGATATGCAAAATAAGAGTAGGTAGAATAACTTATCCCTTCTAAAATTATATAATTTGTTCAAACTTTGTATTTTAAAATTGAGGATAAGTTATTCTACCTACCTTTTTTGTCTACCTTTGCCTACCACTGTAAAAGA